GTTGGAGAGTGGCATGCACAGCTGCTAAAAAACACAGCACCAGGAAGTGCTCCAGGCTGTGTCTGCAGCCTCAAGCCAGTGGTTTCTAGGAATGCATGGTGCAATCTCCTAGGAACCCTCCATGGCTGGGAAAGGTTCTAAAAAAATGCAGAAAATCAGGCAAGTTGGCAAGTTGGCGGCTGCAGTTTAAGAATGATTTACAAGCAACAACAAGAAGAAAGTCATTTAGTTTTAAATACTCAGCAGGAAACTGGAGCATCCAGTTACTTAATAGTACCACAAAAACAGGGAAAGCTAGACTAGCTATACAAAGGGTTCCAACACCACACCTCCCCTTTGGCAGCCTCCAGCCACTCCCATAACACATTGGCCCAAAGCCACAAGGCTTCCTGATTCCCAGTCCCACTGGTCCTTTTGCTTCTCAAAATATATTAGTGCTATATGCAGGCTAAGGGGGGAAGAGTCACATACCAGTCCTCTGCTGTGAGTTGGCTCCATTTGTGGACTTCGAGGGAGGAGACCAAGAAGGAGGAGAACAAGAAGCTAAGACCTCCTGTGAGTCGGCACCATGCATGGAGAGCCAGATGCCAACCTCTTCCAGCACATGGGCAGGGAGACAAGAAAAGCCACTGGTCCTGCCCCACCACCCCATCAGCGACCAGCTGATCTGGAGAAACACAGGTTGTCATGATAGCTAATGAGGTAAAATACAACTTAATGCTGTAGTGTTTAGTGTTTCACTGCCTTTGCAGGCCTAAAGTCAGTAATCTGATCATCTATTCAGAGGATAACAATACACAGTGTAGCGTCTATGGGGATGTCCTTCTGGAGGTGGTGGCCATTGTTAATTCCCTATTATCTTGTTTCAAAATCCTGTACCGCTCTCATTTTGTTTGGATGGGTTTTATTCTACTTTATCTTGTTTGATTTTGTTGTACCTGATGGCATGAGCAGCTATTTCAAAGATAGCAAGACATATGGTAGCCATTTCGGATTTACTATTATCCTGTTTAGAAGTCCTTTATGACATTCATTGTTTTTTTTTTTTTTTTTTATGGGTTCTATTCTGTTTCTGTTTTGTTTGATTTTACTATGTCAGAAGGTATGGACAGCTATTTTGAAGACAAGAAGAGGCATTGTGGTAATTATTGTTGATTTCCTATTATCTTGCTTTGAAATGCTGTGTCACACTGTCTTACTTTGATTGGCTTTATTCTGCTGTATGTTGCTTGGTTTTATTCTCTCTATAATAAAATTTTATATATAAGCATTATCTTTTAAAGAAGTGTAATACCCCTCAGGTAAACATTTGGCTTCTTGTATGGTTGTACCTATAGAATAAAAATGGCAATGTAAGTGTTCTAGGTACTAAGCTTTGTGACAACAGATTGTATATGTTTATATTATCTGGAGCTGGTCATTACAAAAGATTTCAGGTCTAGAAAGTAGAGGTCAGATCCAGGGTGCAAGTCCTATATAAGATTTTAATGGATCAATGGTCACAAAAATCTAGATCTCTTACTTAGAGTATCCTTTGGCCACTGTATAATTAAACTTAGAAGATGTTCTGTTTCTTATTGACCAAACAGAGAAGATGCTGTATAAAATTCCACATATCATACTTGGGTTGACACTTCTGGACAAATAGGAGCTAATATTAAAGATTAAAGATTTGTATCAAACGCTACTCATTCTCTGATGGGCACAACTCTCTGTAGCCACTCCTCACCAATACTCTACTTTCAACTTTTAGCCTCTTGTTGCTATGGTAACATGATTATGAAGTGAAACCTAAGCACCAGGGGCTTCCTGGTCATGTTCTTGTCCTCTTTTTCATGCCAAACACTATTATTCTTCCAACAACAGGCCCGAGGTTCCTATGCCTCCGTTAGATCCACCAGATGAGGGAAGGTGGGGTCCCTACGGGGGTCCCAGCCACCTGAAGCAGCAGGGGCCCCTCTGTGTCCCTGTGAATAAGAGACCAAAGTCCAGGGGGAGGAGAGGAAGTGAGACAGTAAAAGCGAGGACAGGATACAGACAAGGAAAACAACCATTGTAAAATCATGCTTTGTCCTCCTCAGACTCTTCCTGCTCCTCTTTCTCCACACCCACAGCCCCTTGAAGAACCTTTGTGTTCATAAATTAGCTTAGTTAGCAAGGTAAAGACCTGACCTCAAAACACACATAGCCTGGGGCCAGGCCTTTCTCCTGGAGTATGTGTGGTCTGGTCACCCACAAAGGGCATCATCATCTTCCTTCCAAAGGGGTGGCTCATCGACTTTTGTCTATAAACCAAACCCAAGGTTTCCATAAATTCACAAATTCACAGATTTTTGTCACCAAAAATAAACACATATTCCCCCATGGGGCCCAGGTGTAGGAGCTGTACCTCTCTTCCTGCTGAGATTTTTGGGTATGAAATTGACCTGGGGATATGGCTGATCTTCAATTTTAGCAATATTAGAAGCACCGTTTTTAAGATAAAAATTGTCTACATTCAAGTCATACAATGGGAGGTTGTAATACATGTACCCTAAAGAAATGCTTTGCACAATGCAGCTAAATGAGGAATCCAGCTGCACCTTGTTTCTACCTCTTTCCCCCCTCCCCTCCTGCCCTCCTCCATCCCTCCTCCGCGCCTCCCCCACTTTTTCTCTCCCCCCCTTGCTTCCTCTTTTCTTGCCTTCCTCCCTCCTTTCCAACTGTCCTCTCTTCCCTCCTCCAACCCCCTTCCTTTCTTCACGTGTGCTGAGCACATCCACAGTCTGTCCCCGTAGCCAGCGTTCAGCACACAATGCGACCTTGGTTATCATTTTTCCAGACTTATTTAGTTTTGAGCCCGCTCCCTCTGGCCATTGGAGTTGCAGCCTAAGATCCCAGTGGGAGGGAGAAATCAGAGGACCTGATCCTTGGAGCCCCCTCATTCACTGCCTTGGCTGCGTTCTGAGGTGGGCAGGCGTCTCCAGCAGACAGCGGAGCTGTCCTGAGCCCAGGGTCCCAGGCCACCCTCCGGAGCCTCAGGCCCACGTGAGACCAGCCCGGCCAGCTCCTTTGCTCAATGAAAGGGGATTTCAAAGCCCAAACTACCATCAGATGGCAGAAAGTACCAGTTGCTTTACTGCTTTCTAAATCTGGCCCTGGGCTCCTCTGGTTCCAGTTAGGGAACCCGGCCATGCCCTGGCCCTGCACTGAGGTGCTGTGGGTGACCACAGAGTGATGCCCGGCCAAGGCCGGCAGCGTGGCCCGGCAGAGGTCACAGCCCTCAGCCCTTGGTGTCTGGCAGGTTATGATTCCACTTTGAAGTGATCATTTTGGAGAAACTAGCAAAGTTGTGAGGAAGTCACGCCAGCGCCTCCGGCTGTGAAATCTGACCCAGCAAGGACACAGCAAGAGCGCTCTGGATGGAAATGCAGACCCACTTGAGGTGGTGAGGCCGGGCTCCAGGGAGGGGGGTCGGCAGAGCCCTGAACCGTGCTAGGAGGGAGAGTGTCAGTGGCTCAGGAGACATACTCCCCGAGACTCCCCGCATCTGGCAGCCCTGGCATGACACGCGCCCTGGGATCCACATGCACAGCGGACTGTGCCCTCTCCTCCCCTCCCCTGTCCCCCTGCCCTTCCCCCTCTACATGGTGAGCCCGCTCTAGGTCCCTCACAACAGCTTCATTGGTCCTGCCCAGTGTCCTGTGTCCAGCCTGAGCGGGATGCTCTCGTGTACCAACGCTGTGAGTAGAAAGTGACTCTGACAACGACGTATTTCAAACTTGTCAGTGCACACATTTCTGCTTCATTTGGCAACTTCATTTGGAAGGAAAACACCCTACAAAATACCTCCAATGAAGGCTGCAGATGGGAAGCATGCAGCACCCAGAACTTTCCTGCAGCAGCATAAGGGTGAAAACTTGGAACAACCTCAAAACTCTCCACCAGTAAAAGTGTTAAGAAAATTGAGTAAACCCATGTAGGTATGAGAAGCCGGGTAAGGCTGAAAAGACACGGGAAGAATCCCAAGACGGGACAGCTACGCCCGATCTAAAATCGAGTCCACCTGTGAATGTTACTGGCCCGCAGCCAAGGGCCGTGGTGGTGCTGGGTACAGACAGCGGGACAGATGTGAAAGGGACAAATGCGGTGACCCTGCACAAAGACTGTGAAAAGTGGGCGGTGGCGAGTGGGAGCTTCTGTATCCTAGCTGCTGCATTGTTTTTGTTTCTGTTTTTGTTTTTCTGCAACACTAGGATGCCCAGGCTGGTCTCAAACTTCAAACTCAAGTAATCCTCTTGCCTCAGCCTCCCCAGTGGCTGGAATTACAGGTGTGCACTACTGCACCCAACTCCTCTTTGACTTTTTTAAGAACATATGCATCATGGTATTACTTATGGGCCGGGATATAAATTTTGGAACAGTAAGAGCAGCCAACAGTATCCATGCATGACCTAAGCGCTGGTGAAGGCTGCAGATGGGCCTGCCCACTGCGAAGTCCGCGTGCCCTTCCAGACCCGCTCTAGACCTGGGTGTAAGGTGTGGCCCTAGTCCCTAGGTCCTCCCCTCGTCTCTCCAGGGGTGTCCTCTGCACACACTCCACATGCACGCTCCGCCCGCCTGCTGTGGGACTGTGACAGACCAGAAAAGGCATCTTCATAAACCCTCCCTCCCCTCTCCCCAACCCGTGCATTGGCTTAATTTCTTCCAATGCAGCATGTGGGAAAGGAAGGGAAGGAGGGAGGGGAAGAGGGAGGAAATCAAAGCACAGCAAGAGGAAGCAAAGAGAAGTGAAGCAGAGGAGCAGCCTGTGGAGGGCAGCGTGAGGCCCAGCGAGCCGGAAAGACGCAGCCCTGCGTGGCATTGTCATTACTTCCGGTCTCTGTGGCCCATAGCTCCCTCTTCCTCCCGTCTCCCCAGGATCCAGCTGTTGGGGACGGGGTAAGGTCCAGGGTGCAGAGCCAGGCAGGCCCTCTGTGACCCAGGTCACCTGAGCAAGAACCCCGGCCCAGGCCGCTCACCACACTGATGCCGTCATTGAGCAGGGCCTCCCCGAAGATCATCATATAGAGCTGCTCGTTGACCCGCGCCTCCTCGAACACGGCCAGCACAGCCACCGGGTCCACGGCGGAGATGAGGCTGCCAAAGAGCAGGTTCTGCAGCAGGTGCAGGTCGCCCAGGCCAAAGGCCTGCACCTGACACACCAGGTAGAGGGACAGGCCGATGCCGAAGGCATTGATGAGCGCGCCCAGGCCTGCCCACCACAGGATGGAGCCCAGGTTCTCGAAGAAGGGCCTCGTGGGCATGAAGTAGCCGCTCTCCAGCACGATGGGGGGCAGCAGGTAGAGGAAGTAGATGCTGGAGTCCATGACGGGCGGCGATTTGTGGTCGGTGCCGAAGATGATGCTGCCCACCAGGGCGCCCACCAGGATGAGCAGGCAGCTCTCAGGCATGAGGTGCGGCAGCCGGCGGTAGAGATGGAAGCCTGTGGGTGAGAAGAGCGCAGACCCGTTTGCTGGGGCACCAGGTAGGGTGCACGCCAGTGTCCCCAACCCGAGACAGGACACTGGACTGGGGACAGTGCTTCTGTGGCAGGAGCTGGGAGTGGAGGGGCTGCAGCTAAGATCCTGTGCTCCTGGCCTGCTACTATCCCAGCAGTCTGGAGGCCGAGGCAGGAGGGTTGCAAGTTCAAGTCTAGGCTGGGTAACTCTGTGACCCGGCAGGATTTTGCCTTAATGTAATGCACAAACCAATAGGTGGATGCAAATTCTTTCAAAAGGGCTGGGGATGCAGCTCTGAGCAGGGGCCCTGTGTTCTATTCCAGCACTGCAAATGGATTCATCAGTCAGTCATGTTACTAGGGTCTCCTCCACTCCACTCTAAACATACTCTGTCTTCCTGATTCGCTGCAGTGATTAGGGCCTTGAGGTGAAGCATGGGCCTTGGGGCCGCACTAAGGGGAGGAGGTGGAGACCCGGAGCAGGGGAGCCCAGCTGCCAGGAGGTCCCTACAGGGGGTCCCTGAAGGGACAGTGGCCGGGAACCTTCTACCTACCCATTTCCTGCCCCGTAATGAGTTTGTCTGCCTTGATGTTCTGTCACCCAACTCAGCCAAAAGCAATCGGGCCAGTCACAGACTAGAACCTTAGAACTGTCGGCCAAAACCCGCTTTTTAAAGTTACTTCCTGTACCTTGGATATTTTTATAGCCGTGGAAGGCTGACGCACACACCCCTGGTCCCACCCTCGACCCCCAGCCCTTCCGCACTCAGGCAGATGAGGGGTCGGCACCATGGGTGTCTGGTAGGCTGGATTCCCAGGGATGACCAGCAGGCACAGGGCAGTGCCTGGGACTCAGCCTGAGGATATCTGCTGAGGATTCCTCTACAGAGACCGCGAGGCCCCGGGAGGCCAGTAGGAGACCAGCGATGGAAATCGTTCTACAGTTCCCGCTAAGAGGGTTTCAGAAAGGAGATAGGGACAGATGAGAGCCTGAGATATCTGAACTGAGGCTGTAATGAAGGGCATGCCGAATTCACCAGGGGACACTGTTAGCTCTGTGGGTCACTGTGAGTCCTCTCTGTCTCCTACACAGCCTACACCTTAGCCCACCAAACGCCTTTCCACCCCACAGCACCTGTCTGGTCCTCTCATTTTATTATCTCTGAGTTGTAGTTTTTCTCTTGATCTGTTAAGGTCCTGCTCATAATTGAGGCTAAGCTTTCCCCCACTTTCCTCTGAGGAAATTCTGTATCTCTCTCCAAGTAATCAAAGCAGTTTATCTGCCTGATGCCAATGCAATTGGTATCTAGCAATTTTTTTGTACAATGTACCTCCACTATTAATCTGCAGATCCCTCAAAGTGGGGTGATCCCCACCCCAAGTTTTAGCAAGGTTCTCATTGCCACAGCGGATCCCTTTGCTGAGAGAATCAACAAGTGTAAGATAAACGAATAGGTTTCTGTCCACTGGCCACAGCACACTCTTCCTGGGAGGGAAGCGAGTCCATTGCTGGAAAGTGACCAGGCTGGATGGTGGGAGATGATATAGGGAGGGAGAAGCTCCAGAGCAAAGGAGAGGGGCAGGAGAGGCTCGGGCGGATGTTTGGAATCCCTGTGGAGGAAACCGACCTTGCCGAGGAAGATTCTCGGCTAGGAAGAGCAGGAGGAGAAGAGTTGGGAAATCTCAAACCTAAGGCAGCAACCCCGTGGGCCGGGGGGCTGGCGAGCGTCCCCCTAGGAATTCTTGGATCCCCCATCGTAAGAGGATTTGGGCTTCCCTGGCCACAGTTTTGAATTTTTCCACTCACGGCCAGCAGGCAGGGTCACACTGTGGACTGTAGCTGTGTTCAGGGACACCCCGCCACTGCTCCTCCCTGGCGTCCAGGCCAGGGTACCCCTCCTTCTAATCCTGGCGTTGTTCTAACCACAGTGACCTTGGCTTCCTCCTTCTCTTCCTGGCCTCCTTCTTTTTCTTCTGCTAGTGCTTCCTTAACCAAAGTTAACTTTTCTTTTATGTCAAGGAGGTGGAACAATTCACACAATGGTTCCCTCAGACCCGCCCCTGCTCCTGGGACTCCAACTTCTGGAGATGGACCCAGCACTCTCCTGCCTTTGGTCCAGGTGCCTCTTGGGGTTGTAGCTATGTCCCCACAGCAGGGCATTGCTGAGGAGGACTCTACACACAACTCACATCCCAAGCCTTTCCCCCATTTCTGAGGGACACTGGAGTCGGTCACCTCTAGGCATTAAGTCCACCCAAATACTAAAAGTCTTGCCTGAAAATCAGAGGTGAATCTGCAGCCCCTTCCTTCCAAATGGCTCCAAGACAGTTTTCCATGGTGTTCTAAAAGCCAACCTTCAATAGAAGATAACCCAGAGTCTGGTGTGTTTTGACTATTTCATTCTAGGATACCTTTGCTGTGCATTTGTCTCAGCGGTGCCTCTTGGGGACACATCCCTGGCCTGTTGTTCTTTCTCTGCAAGTGGCCTGTGCCTCTTGCAAAATGACAAGGAGCAAGTTGACCCTCAGCAGTTCTCACCTCCATCTGGGTGGCACATGGAACTCTGGACATGAGATTGCTGGTAGGATGCAAGATTGCTGGTAGAATGCACAGACCGTTTAAGCAGGATTGGGAGGAACTTTTTATGTTTTTCTGTCAGCGGGCTGACAGTCAGTGCTAGGTCAGCCCATCTTGCCCCACAGTCCTTGAGGTCACGAGCCACGGTCTTCCCCACATACCACGTGGGTGCCCGGAAATGTGCCTTGGTTGAATGAGGAATCAAAGAATGAATAAAATAAATAATGAGGGTGACGTGTTCCTGCCCAGGTTTCAGACAGTCGTTTCCAGCCCCACCCACCCCTTAAGTGTTCAAGTTTTATACATCATGGTCGTCGTTATCCTTACTACTTTGCAACCCTACATGCGACGTCCAGCCCGCAGCACAGCGCACTGTGTGCATCTGGAACAAGCCTCTCCCCCTCACCTCCCCCACCCCATGGGACACAGCAACTCTCTGACCCCTGAAGCCCAGCAGTGCACAGTCACCTCTGAAGAGATGCTCCAGCGGGAGCCTGCTGCAGGGCTGGAGAATGACAGCAGCCTGGAGCCCGAGACCCCCATCCTGGGAACACGGTGCCTCTCGGCCTTCCCATGCATAGTCTCTCCAGGGCCAGACATGCTTCCTGCCAGTGGAAAACCTAGGCAAGATGGACCCTTGGACAGTGAGGTGACCCTGAGGCACAAAGTGACCAGCTGGCCAGGGGCGGGTCCTGATCCTCGGTCCCCACACCATAATCTGTCATTCCTGGGGGGCAGAAGAGACACAGAAGGACCAGAGCTGCTCACAGGGGAGCACCCACATTCCACAAAAGACCCCCCTGAGTACCTTGGGGTCCATGTGGCCTTGTGGAAAGTGTGAGACTCCCTTCCCGGAACTGAGCACATTACCATCTAGAGAGCCACTGCCTCTCCAGTTCCTCCTTAACATAATGGTGAGGACTTAACTGTTTCACAGATTTATGGGGTGCCCCAACCACACAATCCCCATTCTACCCTCTCAGGAACCACTCTCAGAAAGAGGCACTACAGAGGACACTGTCCTGACCCACTGCTGGGGCCCAGGGCACCCAGGGCAGGCCACACACCCCCAGCAGCCCCAGAGAAAGGACCCCAAAGGGCAGTGAGACAGCCTGGGGAGTCTGTTTTGAAGGGCAGTCTACACACTCACCTTCGAGTTAGAGCTGAGGCAGAGGACACGCTGTGCTTAGCAGTGAGGCCCCAGATTGACCTTCCACGGAGGAGAGTGGGGATTAAGCCATTGCTGGCACAAAGGATGCTCCATGGAACTGAACTCCTAAGCCCCAGTCACTACTCAGCAGGGGACAGCTCTGTGTTACCAAGGGGCCGACTTGCATCCTACCAGCAATCTCATGTCCCGAGTTCCATGTCCCACCCAGATGGAGGTGAGAACTGCTGAGGATCAACTTGCTCCTTGTCATTTTGCAAGAGGCACAGGCCACTTACAGAGAAAGAACAACAGGCCAGGGATGTGTCCCCCAGAGGCACCGCTGAGAACGCAGGACCACTGCTTTGCAGAGGAAATATTACAAGGCTCCGAAACCTCCAACCTGTACCACCCTGGAGCTTCAGGCCTCACACATTACATGTTTACAGCCTAGGAGGGAGACTTTTCTACGACAGAGTCACATGGCTGTCACCTCAAATGAGAAAAAGGCAAAACAAATTGGGACCCAGAAGTCACCCTCACATTTCAAAGCCCCGTGCTAAAGCACCTCACAGTTTTGTGAACAACAGCTTTTCCAGGATGGAAGGGACAAGAATCCCGATGGAAGCACAGGGATGGCACCAATGCCTGTCACTTCCCAAGAGAAAACCCTCCTCAAGTCAGGGCTCCAAGGACTTACCTATTTTTGCAAGAGAGGCTAGAAGTATCCAGAGGGTGACCTCATATGGAACTTGCACGTAATCATAGTCCAGCCCGAACACAGAAATCCTTCCCTCCGCCTCTGTGCTGGAAGCAGTGAGCCGGGCGTGCAGTGCATCTTGGGCAGTAGAATTTGCAGATTCGTTCAGGTCTGAAGCTGCTTCAGAACTGGCCAAGGCCACCAGCATCAGCAGGCAGCTCCCAGGGCGCAGAGGCAGGAGCCTTTCAACAGCCATGCCCGTGGATCCCGCTGCACACCTGAGTGCAGTTGGTGCCTCAGCCCTGCGGTCAGGAGGCCGCCTAGATACCGGCCACATCCACCTGGTCCAAGGTGACATCCACGCCTCCCTGCAGCATTCCCAGAGTAGCCTGCTTGTGGATGCCTTCTGGTCCTCTTGGAATCATCCCTGTTCAGGCAGCCGAGTTCTGGCTCACAAGCAGTCCTCCAGTAGATGCGTGGCAGCCCGGGGAGCTACCTGGAGGACCCCCATCCCTTCAGGACTCCGTGAGCAGCCTAGAAGGGGAAGCTCTCCCGTGCCCTTCACTGCCTGCTGCCTCCGCCTTGGCAGTGAAGATCTAAAAGGCACTGCAGCCTTATCCTGTGTGTCACGGAGAGCCTTCTGCAAGGAGGGGATCCTGCCCACACTGTCAAGCCAGGAAAGGAGCCACCTGCCCTACCTGTCCTCGCTCCTCCCCCTGCTCACTGCCTTATTTTGAGTGGCCAAGGCAGCAGGTAGCTCCAGACACACTTAATTATTTGCTCTGATTTGACTTCTGTGCTGAAGCACTTGCTGGGCTCGCCAGAGGGGCCGCTGCTGCCACCTAGTGGTGTCCTGTGATACGACACGCTTGGTGTGTGAACCGGGACTGTCCTGGGAAAGGAAGGTTCAGTTTTGGTGCAAGGGCAGAATGGGGTCGGAAGCAACGCGGCCCTTACACGCTGGAGCGGTCCAGGACCAGACCCCGGGAGCAGGCATCTGCAGGAGGGGGGCAATCCCAGCTCCCCCAAAGGCTGCGCAGAATACAAGACCATGATGAAAGCCCCACGGAACACGCATGCTTTCCATTTTGAAGAATTTTCTTGAGGTGGCACAAAAATTTGTAGGTGCACTATCATGGAATTTTTATGGAAGGAATTTGAGGTAAATGCAGTAAACCGACTTCTAGATCTTCTACATCTGGCCAGGGAACTTGAGGCCTGCTACTGACCTGTCTAAGGGGCTTCGCCAGTGAGGGTGGTGTGCCCACATGAGGGAGAGCAAGGCAGGTACAAGGTACAGAGCAGGCACCCAACAGCGGTCAGGTTGTGCTCATTTCAACTATGTTCCTTGTTCTTAAATCAAAGGTGCACAGCTGCAGTGAGCAGGCCTCCGTGGGAAAGGAGAATCAGCATTCACAACTCACACGCTACCTCAGCACCTCCTCTGCAGCGATCTGCCAGCGATCTGTGCTTGTGCCCCTGCACCTGGGAGGGAGCCCGGAGAAATCCCCAAACCCTCTGCAGAACTCTCTGGAAAATGGAGGAGGACGAGGTCCAAACGCTTAAGTGTGAATTCACAGCAAGACCCGAGACACAGCAAGACACAGCTGACATACGGTATTTTTCTTTCTCTTTCCTTCATCCTCTGAGTCCAAAATAGAGTAAGTCCAGCCACTAAAATGCGACTATCAGGCAGGTTCTAGGAACACTGTGAAGTCTACTGGGTTACTTTTTCTCAGAAAAAATACATAAATAGTCCCAAAATAGCAAGTTCCTTTAAGAGATGGTTTGCTTCTATTTATATTTTGTTGTACTTTTCTTGTAAGCAAAAATAGAGAAATAGAGAAAGAGAGAAAGACAGAAAGAGAGGAAGAGAAAAAGAAAGATAAAAAGAAACCAGGAGAGGGAGAGGGAGAGAGAGAGAGGATTCCCATGATGCCCAGTGGCTGGACTCCGCCCAGGAAGCAGTGTGAGTCCCCTGCTTCCCTATCATCTCTGGTGGCACCTAATTCTCCTCCTCTGAAGGGAACAAAGATGCCATTCACACCGAGGATCCCCTTCCTGCCCTAAGACTACAAAGCTCTGTGGCTCTGGAACCACAGGCTCACCTTAGAACCAGCCGGGGATGACACCCTGGTTTCCAGCCTCTGTGATAAGACTGAGCTGCTGCCTCCTCCCCACCTGGCGTGGCTTCTGTCTGAGGCTCTGCTCCAGGGTGCTCCCAGCAGGGGCACAGGGTGTGGGGCAAAGCCACCAGAGGAGAGGGTTGTGGAAGCCAGGGAGATGCCTTTCTGGAGGGGCAGCTCCACAGATGCCCACGGCTGGAAAGTGTCACTCAGACCAGAGCCACAGCCCTGAGCTGCACGCTATGTGGAGCTCCAGCAGCAAGCGAAAGGGGTCTCATGAGTCCCTGGAAGCCCCGCCTGACTGCAAGGCGGCCCTGTGCAGCTGTAAGCAAGGCCCTATTCCAAAGAGCTGGGTTCCCTCTTGCCCCTCTCGCTGTGGCCATGGGCTCTACCCAGGAAACCTGGGCTCTGCCTTCAGCAGCCTCCTCCCTTCCCCAAGCGGGGTGTCTTTTAGGTGAGTTTGCAGGAGAAGGTACGAAGCAAGCTGTGTGGGTCCTGGGCAGGACGAGCCCCTCCACTGTGCCGGGTCTTCTGGAAAGTGGGCTGTGTACATCTGGTCCCAGTGACACAGGACAGGAGAGCACGGTCCAGGGCCGTGAAGAAGACACAAGCGATGGAGGTCTCTGTGCTGATGAAAGTGACCTGTGTCTGGGGTTTGCTGCCCTCAGTGCAATGCACTCGAGGCTCCAGGTGTGATCTTTGCCTGAAGTGTGGCCAGGGAGTCCGCGCAGGGAGGGGTGTGCGTGCCCAGCTGGGCTCAGTGTGCAGAAACCCACCAGAGACGCTCTGCAGAGCAGAGCTGGCCTGAGGAGACAGAGCGGAGGAAGAAAAGCTTCTGAGGGTTGGGTCTGTAGCTGTGGGGACAGAGCCACGCATCCAGCCTCAGGACGGAAATGCAGCAAAAGGGGGTGAACTTGAAGCCAGGGACAGAGGGCTGAAACTGCCCTGGGCAGGGGGTCTCGAAGGCTGGCTGTGAGGATGACCCTGCAGAGGCGCTGACCACAGACTCATCAGATGGTGGCCCAAGGCCTCTCTAGAACAGGCGACCACTCCCGGGGGCATGGTGACATCCATAGAGCCACCTGCAGGCTGGATGGGGAGGTCAGTAAAAGAGTCATAGAGAGTCTTGCTAAGCACAGTCCCCGGGCGAGGAAAGAGGCTGGGATCCAGGAGGACCAAGGCTGCCCTGGCTGACGGGTGACATCGAAGTCAGCCCTGGCAGCAGAGCAGCCAAGTCATGAGACAGATGCCAAAGCCTGAAGGTCAAGAAGCGGGGAGGGTGAGCGTGGGGAACTGCTCACAGAGGTCCAAGACATTCAGATAGTCATCGACCACTGCAGCCCCGAGACACCGCACTGTCTGCAGAGCACCCCAAGTCAGATCCCAAGATCCCAATGGTCCGGGTGGGGGGAGGAGGTGCCCAGGCCCTGAGGGGGCAGCGGGTCACTTCACCAGGAAGGGACGCTCCTCTGAGGAGCTGTCAACCCATCAGGAAGATACCAGTTCAAGCCCAGCTTGGTAACTGAATAGCTTAGTAAGATCCCTGCTGAAAATTTTTAAAAATTTAATTTAAAAAGGGTGGAAATGTAGCCCAGCACAAAGGCCCTGTGTTCAATCCCCAGTAGTATCACGAGGGAGGGAGAGAGAGAGAGAGAGAGAGAGAGAGAGAGAGAGAGAGAGAGAGAGAGAGAAAGACAGGGAGTGCAATATTGGAAAAGCCCTACTTCCCAATTTCAAAACTTGCAACAAAGCTACAGTAGTCAAAGCAGTGTACAAAACAGATATATATTAATGGCATAAAAATAGATACAGATTAATGGAATGGAAGTAAGAGTCCAGAAAGGAGCCTTTACATTTAGGGCTGATGATTGTAAGAAATGTATCAAGATGATTCCAAAACATCAGCCTTTTCAACAAATGATAGTGGAAATCTACTGCCAGAAAAATAAGGATTAAATTACATAATAACAGCAGTTATTTAAATATTTACTGAGTTAATTTTAATAGAAGGCTTAGAACACTTTCTAGCTCTAATCCTTTGGTTTTTGTAAAGAGGACGAGCTCGGAAGTAGATGAGGGTGAAGGATTCGCTTTCCTGTCCCTTGGGGACCGCAGGTAGGAGATGGGGTCTCCAGAAAGAGAAGGTAAGGATTAAACATGGGTTCCCACATTGAAACCCAGGAGGATGGGGACCCAGGGGAGCCAGGGTGACAGACAAGAGGAAGCCGCAAAATGGAACCGAAACCAGTTCACCCTGAGCATCTGTATCATACCAAGATCCAAGTGAGAATTACCAACTGGCTGAGACCCCAGCAAAGGTGCATTTCCAGAGGCACCAGGGCAGGAAGGGCACCCGGCATTTGCCAGTCTGTGCTTAAGCTTCCGAAGAGAGATTTGAAAGGCAAAGGGTAAAAAAATATTTTTTCACTTCCAAGCAGAGATCTAAAGGAATTCTCTGGAATTTTGAGTCCTCAGCAAGCTTTTCAATAACCTGGAGCTTTTGCCCCGATTGCCCACTGGCAGTAGTAGCCCACGCGATGCTCGTCCCAGGTGATGCCAAGCACCCCCGAGGTCCTGGTCCTCCGCTCTGGGAAATGGGTCACACATGGAGCCCAGCGGTGCATTGTGGGAGGAAACGCTGGGGTGCCTGCCCAGGGGAGCCCTTCCTGTGGGGGGACCCGGTATCCCAGGGCTGCTGCTGTGCATGCTGGGAAGCAGAGCTTGGGGCTCAGGTTTCCTCCCTTTTATACCAGTGGGAGGTGAGTTAGGGCTGCTCCCAAGGAAATCATTGCAGACATGAGGCCACATTCTGCACTCACAGGTGATGGAATAGGACACCAACTCTGCCTGCCTCACCAAGTCCCTAAGGCCCCTAACCTGTGCTCACTCAGCCTCACATGCCTCCCTAAGGCCACAGCTCTGCAGGACTGGGTCTGGAGCGTCTGTCACTTGCCCTTGAAATTATCAAGGCTGAAATTTACATTCTTTTTTTTAGGAAGAGGAAGGAGAAAGAGTGGTGATATGGAATTGGTCAGTGCCGTCCAGAAAGATGACTTGCTTTCCAAGCCCACAGCTAGCAATTAAGCTGAGTGGCCTCAGATCAAGTTCTGGGATGTGGTCCCCCTAAATTGAAAGCCTGCAGCCCCAGCTAGAGACATGCCAACGCCTTGACCTTGCTTTGAGGACAGAGGAGCTGAGCTGTCCCTGCCCTCACCCCCAAAGGTTCAGAATAGGCCCGGTGAAGGGCACAGTGAACTCAGGGAGCCCAGCTCTGGTTCAGGGGGACGCGGTGGGAGTGGGCTCTAAGGGAAACTGTGTAACAGGACGGATCTCCACTCCGGGACCAAGTCCTGGGCTCACGACTCTACTGTGAGACTCTCAGGAAGGAAGAAGACATTTGCAGAAGCAGGAGCTGCAGTTACTGATCTCGTGAATGTTTTGAGCCATGCCAGGAGTGCTCCATTTTCTCTGCTTTGATGATGAGGAAAATCAAGCTTGTTTTCTGCCTTAAAGGCGATCTTGATTAAGGGGCATAAGGTACAAGAGAGAGTGAGGAAAAAGCTTGGGACCTGCAGACAGTGAGCAATCCATGCATTTTATTTCAAAGAAACTATAAGCTCCGTACGTGTCTCCAGTCCCTTGGTACCTGCCATGCTGTGCAGTGAGGTGCTGCCCACCACACCCCCTAAATGTGCGGGACAGGTGAAGTGAGCAGTCAGACAGCTGAAACAGACGTGCCGTCTTACTCCACCTGCCCACTCGACCCGCCAGCCTCACGGTGCAGGAGAAACTCACTTTTATTTTAAGTCCCTAAACTGCTCACTCTTGTGACCCTCCTGCCTCAGTGTCCCAGAGTACAGGGATTACAGGTGTTCATCAGCACGCCTGGCCTCCTTCCTTCTACATTTTCTTTCCTTCTTTGCTCTCGTCTCTCCTCCCCTCTCCTGTCTCCTCTCCCCTCCCCTCTGCCCTCCCCTCTTCTTCCCTCTTCTCCTCTTCCCTCCTCTCCTCTCCTTGATTTCGTGCTGTGTAACCTTAAGGGCCCTGCACTGAGCTCTATCCTCCATCGCTGTTTATTTTTTCTTTTGAGACAGGCTCTTGCTGAGACACCAAGTTGTCCAGACTGGGCTCAGGTTTGCAATCCTCCTGCCTCAGCTTCCCAGAGTGCTGAGATTACAGTGTAATCTCACTTTCTTCCTTCAAATTTCGATGGTGGAAATTTAGATTATTAGTTTGAGATATTCTTCTAGTACGAGTCTTTAATACTCTTGATTTCTCCCTCTGCATGGCTTTATTTGATCTTCATCTACAAATTTGGGTAGGTAGAATTTTCCTCTTCCCTCATTTAAAGATCTTTCTTAATGTCTCTGGGACTTCTCTGTGGTTCATTCTGAAGTGTATTGTATGACTTCAGGTTCCTCATTCTCGCTGGTGTGTGTTCAGCCGTCAAGGACACCCCATCTTGGCGAGTGCTCCGTGTGTGTGAGGGAAGATCCTTGTCCTGCTTTTGTGAGGTGCAATGCTCCCAAACTGGGAGCATCTAATATAATGACACAGTTTGGTTTCAACTGAAAAGCTAGCTGTAAACACATTGTGCTAACTGTAACCGAGAGAAGGTTGGAATGCATGTCAGTGTCTGCCTCAGCTCATCCAGATACGGGCACAAAGGAAGAGGACTAGAGACGGACACACTGTGAAAAGGGAGGGCTTGATGATGTGCCCAAGAGGAGGAAGGGACGAGCTCACAGGTGTAGTCAGGGACAGCAACACTCTTCCCTCAGGTCCTGGTGACACTGTAGGTAAGGATTCAGAAGGACAGAGAAGAGCTGCAAACACCGCCCCCTGGGAGTGACAGCTGGGGAGCTACCAGTTCCTGCCACCCAGCCCTGCCTCCCTGCTGTGTGTTGCAGTTAACTCATGTATTACCTTTATTGACCCTGAAAATCCCACAAAAATGTGAGGACTGTTCATTTCTCCTAACAGAATGTGCACTTGGAATTCCAGCGAGGGTCAGTCGCACTCCGTAACCGTGCTGGGCCTGGGAGTTGACCCACAGCACCACAGCCATGGTGCCCTCCTGTCCTGGTCACCTCTCTGCCCTGACTCTGCAGTGCTCCCTGGGCATCAAGCTCCGGCCCCCTCTTTGCATTTCTCTGTCCAGAGGGCTGAGACTCTGTTCACCCCACTGTGACACGAGGTTCCCAGGACTCTTGCACCCCTGTAGCCAGAGCAGAGAAAGCACAGAGAGAGAGAGAGAGAGAGAGAGAGAGAGAGAGAGAGAGCAGGCTCCACCCTCATTCTGCTCTCCTGAGGTCCACTCAGGGGCTCACACGGTGAAGTTAAGTCAGGGAAGCTGGGAGGAAACCCAACTGCAATACTTCTAACCTTTATCTTTTCCAGTCTTCCTACTTCTGATTCCTTTAGAACAACCTCCAACTGATGCTCTCCGTGTTACTCCCCAGGTTTTGTAGCTGAAACAAAAGGTGCCGTGTGTGGACTCCGTCTTACCTGGAATCATAGCTTGGACCTACGATGGGCAGGGACAGTGACAGCCTGAAATCCAAAAGTGACCGGAACGGCTGTGCAAATTGCCTGTCACTTCACACAGGCTCATAAAGGAGAGGGCCCGTCTCCAAACAAGGACATATTTTCAGAGTGGAAGCAAGCAACTGGACAAAGCCTGTAACCAGGAGCCAGAGTTCGTGACGACCTTAAATCAGGCGATGCCCTGGGGAAGTGTCTCTCTCTTCTGATGGTAAACTCTGAGGCCAGCTGTGCAAGCCCGAGGCCATTCACTAGGTTGATTTCCATGTAGAAAATGTAAACACTCTCTTGTGCCCCGTGCTCACTAGTCATCAGCTGGGTACCCATGTGCCTGGGGAAAACACGTTGTCACCCTCACTGGCTCTGTTTCAGGCTCCCTGGTGCAGCTGGCATAGTGGGAACCTCTTTTCCAGAGCTAAGGACAGAGCCCTAGATCACCCATAGCACTGTGACAGCAGGGTCTTCGGCCTCAGAGCTTCTAGAGCTGGAGACCACAGAGAGATGATGGCAGAGAGATGCTGCATGAGCTCCTCCTGCCTGCTGGGACCCGCAGGATCCTGCCCAGAAACTTCCAGGCCTAATTTATACCCTTCAGCTCCCTGTAACTTCTGCACAGGAATTTCCAACAAGCACGTTGCGTGGTGCCAAAGCCACAGTGGTCTGTCTGATGTGGGCGCCTCCCTCTGTGAAGAAAGATCCCACGGACACTGTGTGGCCACAGGACAGTGCCTGAGCTAGGGTCATCTTCAGACCAGTGAGGTGACACACCATGGGTGCTGCTTCCCTTCACTGCCCAGGTGGGAGCTCTCTGGTCCTGTCCATCCCTTCCCACCCCATCCATCCCACCCCAGCTCAGCCGAGCCCATCAGGGTAGACCACATGGGAAGAAGCCTATTGTCCGAGCAGGAAGGAGCACTCTCAGCTGAACTCTTGTGAGGAAAGCAGAACAGAACAGGACTAGCCTCATCAACCAAGCAAGGTCCTGGCCTCCTGCACCTCGCCCTCCACTTGGGAGGACGAAGGCGGAGGCCGCAAGGCTAGGACACACACGGGGAGGCCAGGATCGCCAGGTAGATGGCTCAGACCAAAGCCTCTCCAGGCTCCATCCCAGCTGCTTTTGGATGCTAGGTGCCCTTGTTTCCCCAGTGCGGCGGGCTGCTCAGTCTTTTGGTGGCCGTGCCAGCATGGTGGAAGAGCCGGTCCACACCTGTCTTCCTCCTACACCCTGTCAGTCCCCAAATCCAGTGGCCCAGGGCAAGACTGCATACTTGAGGCTCTGCATGAAGCTTGTTGGCCAGGGAGACAAGAGGGCTGCACCGAGGGCTCCTCTGCTCTGCAGCTGTATCCTGTCAGAGACTGTCATCCCCAGGAATGGTCTCCTCCCTCCACAGGTGTCCCCCACTCACGATGGTGTTTTCAACATTATCGTGTTGAGAGCGTGACATGAGTTGCACCTGCATGCGGCTCTTTCCCAGGGGACTACGAGGCACAACTACCATCAGCTTTGCAGGTCACAGGCAGCAGCCCCTGCCCGGGAGCATGTGGGATGCCCAGCTAGGACGCCAGCGAGGAGTGCGCTGGGTGTGCTTCACTGACACAGTTCTCAGTGCACCCCGGGTTCCTGGTGGTGCTGTCCCACGGCAGGTTCAGAAGCAGCTGCAGCTCTGGTGCCCAGAGTGGTCAGCGTGCAGTGACCAGCGAGGATGCCCGCATCCCTGTCCCAGCCAGGTCCTGCCAGCCATCGCCCCTGCCCTCACTCTTCTGCGGCCTGGTGGGGCCGGGTGAACACAGCTCAGGACATAGAGAGCGGGAAGGTGCGCAGAACGGAAAGAGCCGGGGGCAGTGGGCTTTCTAGCTGCAGCATTTTGAGGAGCCTCCATGCTGATTTCCACAGCGGCTGCACTGACTTCCAGTCTCACTCACGAAGGAGAAGAGTCCTTTCCCCTCCAAGGCTGGCTAGTATTTATGATGCTAGATTTCTTGACTACGGCCATTCTTTCTGCATAAGATGGACCCATGGATACCCATGTCGGTAGCAGCACAACTCATCCTAGGTTAGTCTTGGAAGCACCTGGCTGCTCATCAGCAGCTCAACAGATCAAGAAAATGTGGTATTTACACGCTATGGAGTACTACTCTGCCATCAAGAAGGATCAGTGTCAGTCCTTTGTAGAAAAATGGACACACCTGGAGACCATCATGCTGAGTGACATAAAGAGAAACACAAACTTTAACATCACATGGCTTCTTTTATGTGGAAACCCAAACCATAAATAAAGAGAACTGTAAAACATAGAAAGTAGGAAAGAGGAACACAGCGTGCTGAAATGGGCATGGGATCAAGACTGAGGGAGGGGAGGGGATGGGAAAGGAAGAGAGACGCACTCTGCACCCGCACTGGCTCCACACGAGGGCTGCAAACGTCACACACTGCAGCATGCACTTGGGAGTTTTAAAAATGTGTCTGATGTGGTGATGTTTATCTGACTGCCCATGGGCACAGCTCTGTCTGCGACAGAGGCAGGAGGCTGACACAGAAGCAGGAGTCCCTGTGGGTCCAGTCGTGTTCTCCTCCCAGTCCAGGAAGTCAGGGGCCCTAACTGGCCTCTCCGGATGGACGGCAGGAGGAAGATGCTGCCTGCCCTGAGCTCACTCCATGCCCATCAGTCTCTCCTCCTCCTGCTGGTGAGAAGCTGCCCTGGCCCCTAGGCTGGGAGCGTGCCCCGGCAATCCCTGACCTGCGGGCTATTTCCAGCAGCACAGCCCATGGGCTGGTTCCGAGCTGGCCCCTCGCACTCCGCCGCTAGCTCTTCACGGGCATGTGGCAGCGCACCTGGGTCCAGAACCTTGAATTGGGGGCAACTGATTTTAAGCCTCTCCAAGTGATGGTTGGCAGAACTCTGAGCGCCTTTTTCACCAGAAGAGGGAGAGATTCTGGTTCTTGGAAGGAACAGAACTTAATTAAAATGAGTTTCAGCATTTGGTCATTCAAGGCCAAATTCACAGCAGCTTGAAGTTCAAAGAGTTGGGGTCCATTGAGGTAGTTGGGGCTCAAGATAAAGATTCCTCTTCTGCTCTTCTTAATGACGTTCACGATGTCTTCTGAATACACTGGAGATAAAAATAATGACAGTGATTAACCCTCAATTCACAGTGACCTTGACCTCCGGGTGCATCCAGGGCCCCCAATGGATGCTCCTAGGTATGGAGGGAAGGGGACCCAGAAGGGTGAGTCCTTGTCCCCAGCTCCTCCTGTCTCTCTCTGCTTCCCGCTCTGATACTTCTACTATGTCACTCCACCAGCTGCTGAGTCGGATGCTAGTGAGTCCCAGGCTCACTCTCACGTGCCCCCCAGTTTCTCTAGGAGTGGAAGTCACTGGAACTGGGCAGGATGGACCAGGAGGGTAAGGGGTGCTACTGGCATCCTGGGAGGGGGCAGGGGATTCCCCTGGATGGCTCCGGTCCAGGGGCCTGCATGTTCCAGGGCTGAGAACTTCGGTCAGCTGCACTCCACAGATCAGAAGGGCCACCACCCCTCGGGGAGACAGAGAGGCTTCCTACTAAGTCTAGGAAAGACGCCTTTGTTCTGGACAGCATCCTATGGCAGACGCTATGTCAGCTTTTGCTTCCACAGGGGATTTTGTGAGGATGGAGCACCTCGTGGCCTGGGCTGATGTGAAGTCCCCTAAGCTCCTGTGATCCCCCTGGGTGTGAGGACCCACCTCCTCCAGGGGCCACGTCCCTTTCCAGCAAACACAAGGTGAACCCGTATTTGTTTTCCAGGACCTCGGGAAACAGGATCAGGGCCAGCTGCTCCTCACTGAGAGGGGCCTCGTCCTCACTGCCCATGGAGCCCCATTTCGCATAGGACACGAAAGCATCGAACTCCTTCTTATCTGAGGGAAAGAAGACACAAAACCTCAGCCTCTCACCCTTTTCCATAATCACAGTCCACACAGAGGTGCCTGAAGCTTGTGGTACAAATCTCTTCCTCTACGATTCAGGTGCTGGATATTTGGTTCCAGCTCAGGAAAATAATGAAATACAAATGGCCAGAGGCAGGAAATCCCAGGAGTGAGCTCACAGGAGATGTCAGACAGCACCAGCAGTACTTCAGACGTCTCATGCACCGCGGAGCCCCTGTTCCTCCTATCTCCACGGAAAGCCCCAGCACACTGGTACCTTTACGCAGTCTGGAAACCAAACCACCTAGGTCCTCCACAACTGTAACATCCTGTCTCTCCAGCTTAACTGTGCAAACCCAACTGTGCTTCAAAGCCTTGTGCTGCAAGCCTCATAGCGGCCAGGAGGGTGCGATGGGGCTCTGTTACTTGGTCCTGTGGCTAAAATTCGTGTTTTTGTTACTGTGAAGGGAACCAAAAGGTATAGGAGACCTGGGATTAAAAAGGAATGAAGATCTGCTGGGTCCAGGGGCACCAGCTCCCCACCAAGCATTTAATCGTGTACTGAAGACATGGCCTCAGAAAAATCTTTAGAAATGTGTAAACACAATTTAGGCAGCTGAATGTCAGCCTGGGGGGAGCTCAAGTCCTCCATCTCCATTTGTCTGCGCCTAAAAACTTTCTGAGAAGGAGGTAAAGAAAGAGTTCTTTGCATGGTAAAAAGAGAAAGGGCACATATAAATGTTTTGCCGTTCACCGGTGATGCTCCTAAGAGGCGTTTCGGTTTTGAGAAACCTTAATCCTTCAGAAAAAGAAGCGTGAGGTTGCCCAGGGAAGCAGTGAAGATCATGGGTCATGTCAGTCCTATCATGGGTTCCATGCCAAAGAAAAAAAAATGCCAACTGTCTAAAACTAAATACATCAATACCAAAACCACTTCCGGCTTACAGATTCCTAGAATAGGGTTGGCCCCTTCCTTGTGCTGCTATTTTGCTGTTGATAGTGTGTTTGTTCTGCTTTTTTTGGTTTTGGGGGATTGATTGTTCTGGTGCTGGGAGTTGAACCCAGGACCTGATACATTTCTGTCTTTCCCCCATGGCCTGCTTTCTCCAAGAAACAAAAATGTGTATTAAAATTGCAAATATTCTTCCCTGGGAATCCCAAGGTGAGGAAAAGCAAACAAACAAACAAAAACTTACAGCTTTTCCAGTCTACAGAACCTTTCCTCCCACTCCACTGTCCCACAGGACACCTGCTCCGATGTCCACCGCTGACATCTTCCGGGGTTCAGTTCTAAGCCCCTGACTCTGACTTTCTCTGCTGACCCACTAGGATGGCCGTGAGGATGGCCGTGGGTGACACATGTAAGGGCCTGGGCTGGAATCCTGGCTGTCGCCTGCTGAGTTTGCCTGCATGCGAAGACACCACCCGAAAGCCTAGTCCTGATGTCTCTCCCAGGGAGCTCTCACAGCCCCCTCTGCACTGCAGCTAGCACAACCCCACTCTACAGATTCGGGGTCCAGGGCTGGACTGCTGTTTGCCACACTGCCTGAGGGTGGAGCAGAAAGATTATTTTAAAGTCCCACCAGTTCCCAGATAGCATTATCTGCAAGATCACTGGTGAATGGATTGAAACAAAAATGGATATCTCCATCTGTCTCTGTTGTGAGGCTGCCACGCAAGGACCCAGAACTCCAGGGGTGTGCCTCGCCCCATCAGGAACATCCATCTTGAGTGTCTCCCTATGCTCAGCCCCAGTACCAGGGGTCATCCAAAATTCATTCCTGGCAGTGACAGCATCACTTCCCATCTTGGTGCCCGCCCCACGTCTCTGGGCTTGGAGAGGAAGTCAGGGGGCAACACAGGGCGGCCTTACCCCCGAGAGTTTCCCCCTTCCTCTGGCAAGTCTGGTACAACAGCAGAATTTCGATCCAGTAGGTGTAGACGAGGACGCCTGCCGCCAACACGCCAACCAGGATTGACACCGTGCCAAGCAGGACATAGAAGAGCAGCACTGGGGGGACACAGTGGCTGTGAGCCTGGTGGAGGCAGCAGGGGGCTGTGGACAGCTTGGGGGCGCTGTGGGCTGCCCAGCACCTCTTTCTTCCCTATCTGTGTCAATCACTGCTACTGGGAACCTCTTAAGTCTACAGTCAGCTCTATAATGCTCAAGGGAATGGGTACTTCCTGGTGGACTTGATCTGAAATGTCTATCACAGTCACTAGCATTATTGTCACCCATAACCTATGACTTCAACCAACCCATCTGCATCCTCCTCATTGCTTAGCAGGCATTATTTTCATGTTTTCCCTCCTTTCTTAGGTGGGGACTCCCTGAGACCAGGAGCCATCCCTGGCTCAGGGGAGTACCCTGCAAGGCTCCTAAGGCAAGCACAAACTTCTGCAGGCAGAGGCCATCTCCAAGGATGCTCTGCAGACCCAGGCACATGCTTGTGGCTGCTGGTGCTGTTCATCAGATGAATCAATGAATGCATCCAGCCCATCACAGAGACACTGTGTTGGCTTGGAGTTTCTGCTATAGCTCTTTGCAAGGCTAAGATCTGCACTGTGCATGCAAGAGGATCCCTCCCCTTTTCCCCTCTCCACCTGTGGGAACGTGACTCCCCCCCCCCACCACGCTGCCTGGCAGCCAGGAGGCACAGAGAATGAGCAGGGGCAGCTCGGCTCCTGCACAGCACCAGCCACAAGGGTGTTTGGAGGAAGCAGCAAGGGAAGAGTGATAGTCCTTCCACAGAGCTCCCATTAGAGGCCCAGGTGTGGCTCATGCCCTCCCCAGCTCTATGGCACTGGACAATTGTGCATGGGTCAACATTGCAAAGTGCTTAAGCAGAGTCCAGCATCTAGAAAACGTCCCATGCTGTCTCCCTATCTCATCTTCAGAAACGCTGCCCCACCCAGCAAGGGTGTGTGCACCCAGCACCCACCACCAGCTCACCTCCTCTCTTCTCCTGCAGTCGGAGGGACCTGGTCACATTCCCAATGGAGTTCTGGGCAAAGCACAGGAACTCTCGCCCCAGGTCGCTCTGTGTGACTTCCTTCAAGAAGATGACACGCTCCATGACTTCCTCCTCCATGGTGGACTTAACACTGGGGAAGGAGGGAGGTTGACTGCTGGGGAAGGAGGCACCCCTGGCGGGGTCCCGAGATTTCAGAGCAACCAGCAGATCTGCGGGCAGAGCCCTGGGGTCGGTGCCCGTCAAGACGCAGAGGCTGGATGGCAATGCGCTGTCTTGGCCTGCCTTCCTTCCTGAGTGTGAGCACCCAGATGCAAGCTGCCTGTGGCCTCATCTGACTTTCCCAACCCTTCGGAATTCCACTGGAGGACAGACAATGGCAGTCATTTGCAAACATTCAGCAAAGGCTACCAAGGAATAATCAAGCATCCTGATTCGCTCAGGGACAGAGGCGACTCAGAAGTCCTGAGCCTGCACTTTCAGCAATGGAGCCAGTCCCCAGCCCTGAGCTCTGCTGTCCCACCCATGGTGACCCTTGGCATGTGGCCGCAATTTGAATTCTCTACAATTGCCCACCTCAGACTGCCCTGCTAGAAGCCCTGCGGGTGCAGTGGTGTTTCAGCCTGTGCTGCTGGGGGCCTGCTTGCCAACTCGCATTCTAGCCTGCTTCCCACCTGCTCGGGCGGTGACACGTGTGTCACCCCTACTCCTCTGCTGCTGACAGGGACCCTGCAGGCTGGAGATGGACTGCAGGAACCCCCCTTGCACGTCTGCCTCCTCCACCTTCCATGCACCCCAAGATAGGATGCAGCGTCTTCCTCGAAGGCAGAAACCCACGCAGAAGCTATCATTCCTGTCAAAGTCCTGTCTTGACTCTCTGTGGCAGTGTGTACTCCTCAAAACGATGTTACAGGTGTTCACTGGAAGGTTTTAAAAATTAGAAGGCATTGGTTTACCGCATAGGTCCTGATTTGAATCAGATCTGGGGTAAAGGCAAGGATGCATCTTTGGTGACTGGCATGACTGGATCCAAGGGGCTCCAGGGCCACAATCCCGGGGCTCTTGAGGCCCTGAGCGCCTCTTAGAGGACCCTACTTTCTGCCGGAAAGACCCCCCCAACCCCAGTCCACTTCATCCATGGATCTGGGTTTTACCCTACAGACACCAATAAAGCAGGTCTGACTTCTCCTAAGCCCTAACAGCACCCGCATGTTACCAGAGGGCCCAGCGCTCGGCTCCTCACTCAGAGTTAAGCAGCTTCCACTGTTGCCCTCTGTGCCTATTTTCCTTAGGCTCTGCACTGGGGTGCCCCTTCCCCTGGGAGCATTCCAGACAGCTCCAGCTTCATGAGTCTAGACCCCTGGGCCCACGAACACAGAAGGCACGGTGCTGCTACAGTGGTGAGGAAGCGTGGTCGCCTCCCACGCAGGCTCCTACTTCCGGCTCAACAGCTTGAACCAGCACATCTATCTGCTCTGAGGCTGTGCAGCTTGACCTTCTTTCTTTCTGTCTCTGTCTCTGTCTCTCCCTTCCTTCATCTCTCCCTCCCTTCCTTCATTCTTTTTCCTCCCTTTTTTTCTTTGCTTCACTTTCTTTCCTTTTTTTGAGACAGGGTCTGGCTGTGTAGTTCAGCCTGATCTTGAACTTGCAGGAATGCTCCTGCCTCAGCCTCCTGAGTGCCGAAATTACAGGCATGCACCACCACAGCCGGCGTGGGTAGCCTGACTTTTAAGGCAGTCACTTCACACTGTGGCCCCAAGGCAGGCTTTAAAGCTACTTTAGAGATGGCTACAGCTCAGCAGCAGAGCTCAGCACCCTGGACTAGCCTGGATCTGATCCTCAGCACCAGCAGGAACCAAACCCAGACCCAAACCCAAACCAACAGGTGCCTCGCTGCAGGCAGCCAGGGCCTGGTTCCATATTCTGAGTTGACTTCATCATGGGAACTTCGACATGTGCCCAGCGGGAGCTGAGATGGCTCTGTCAGCTCTAGGCGATGTCATCTTAGGGGGACCATGTCCCCTGTGGCCCCCAGATGTCACAGGCACACACCGAATTCTGCATCTTCATCCTCACCCTGGTTGGTGCTGGTGGCTCATTAAATCCACCTGCTCTCTGCAGTTTGGTGATTTCTGAAAGCACCTAGTCTGCGTTGCCAAGACTAAAGTTCCTCCATGTTTCTCTTACCTTTTCTCCTGAAATGTTGGGAATTCCCACTGCTGGCCAGCGGATTTGATGTACCACCTGATCACAGGGTGAAGGTCACGCTGGAAGCCAAACCGAACCGTGCAGGGCAGAGTTAAAGGTTTTCCTGGAAATGAAGAGGTGGGGAGGGGGAAGCAGGTGAGAGGGTGAGGCGTGGCCGGGGGAGCAGTGACACAGAAGACAGGAACAGCCACAGGTGGACACCTCATTCCCAAACCTGAAGCCCTGGGGCACTACTCTCCTGTGAGCCAGTCTGTGTCTCACACATGTGACCACATGCAGTCAGTGTGAAGCTCAGCACGATCGTACCCGAGGGTCCTGAGGGAGCCAAGAAGAGAGCCCAGGAAATGGGGGTTTCAGGGGTCAGCAAGGGCGTGTGCACCTCTGCTAAGGCACAAGGTACCAAAAGGGAAAACTTCAGTAAAAGGTATTTGCATGTTGTATGAAACCACAAGATTACTGCTCTTGTGACAGAGAAGCCATTCACGCTCAGCCGCTCCTCTGAGCACCCCGGGTAAGTGGTCAGACCGAGCTCCCTGGATGCCTCTCAGCAAGAGACACCAGAAACACTCTGCCTGCAGCTATTCTAACCCGTGATGGCTGGGGACAACACCTGAGACTCATTCCTGCAGCCCCAACCTCCCCACCAGTGGGTCTCTAACATTCCACCCTGTGCAGTGTGGCTGCATTTTTGTAAGTGATTTTTGTCTTTATTCCAACTTCCTCCTATTTTCCCTCCAGTTTTGATTTTATTGGGAAGTGCTTCGGAAGCAGTCGTTATGCTGATTTTTTTTCTTTTTTTTAATTTTATTTAAGAGGAAAAAGAGAAAAACACAAAACAAAACAAAGCGGTGTAAGGCTACACGTAATACAGAACTACAAAAAAAAAAAAAAAAAAAAAAAAACCATAACAGTAGAAATCACCTGTTAATAGATTACATATTATCATCTTGAAAATAGTTGCTCAAATCACAGTATCAAAGAATACAAAGTGGACATTCAAACAGGGAGACTGCAAACAGCTGTGTTCAATGATCCAAAAACATTAATATAGTCAGCTATTTAACACCCCTAAACACACTTGCTGTTATATCCGTTAGAGCTCTTTTTCTTTTTTTTTTTCCCTCTCTTTTTTACAACAAAATTTACACATTTTGGATTTTATTACTCCTTAGTTCTTATTACTTTTTTGGGAGGGAGAGAATACAGTCAAATATGGCAAAACAAAGCTGTCAGTCAAAACCAAGTTATGCTGATTTTGAGGGATTGGTGTATATCCTGAGCACTTCCCAACACTTTATCTACCTCCCCCCGCCCCCTCACCCCGATCCCCACTTCCTCCCTCCAAAAGTCCACCTCCTTGTTAGCCACCATCTCTTCCTTATCTTTCTCTTCCACTAATTTATATTTTGGGCTTTCTCATGTAAGAGAAAGTATCCCATGCTTAGCTTTTTATGTCTGGCTTATTATCCCACTTAATACTATTTCAGGGTTCATCATTTTCCTACAAAGGACGTGATTTCATTCTTCTTTATGGTTGAATTTAACACCTCTCCTCTCCCCCCCACAAATGAGCAAGTGAACTGAATGGATACCACCCCAGTTCGCTGCACTGGCATCGCTGCTTCCATCATTGGTGAGATTTGCACCACGGTACTTGTTTCCACATGTCTTTCTATAATACTAAATCTTATACTGACATTGAGAAGCACATGCATTTTACGAAAAAGAAAAACCCCATTTGGTGTTAAATACATTCATCCTTACGTGACTGTGGGGAAAGGCACAGATGCTACTAAACTTGACAAATGAAAGGCTCCCACAAGGGAGCCCGCTTCCCCTCCACCCAAGGGAGCACACCATTTTGGAATTTGAGCAGAAATCACAGCATTTCCCCAAAGTTCCTTTAAAGACCAGACGAAGCAGCATATTCAGAGGCTTACAGTTACTCAAGTCGGTAAATGTATTGACACAACAGAAAAATACAACCAAGTCTTGCTTGGGAGAGTCCAAACCTATCTTTCATGTTGAATTCACCAGCCAGGGATCTCATTGATTGTCCCATCAAAACAACTCCCTATGGTCAGGTTAGTGATGTTTAGAAGCAAAACTAGAGGCTGGGGCTGAGGGGGAATGCATAACTGTTCAAGGCCCAAAGCTGTACTTGACGCCAACTCTGCCTTCCTCAGATAATACATAGACCAGATCCTGGAAGGACAGTGTTATAGTTTGTGTTCAGATGCTTCCCCCCCCCCCCAAGCCTCATACAATCATGGAACTGGCTGAGTCTGGCATTTGTGATTGGTTTGTTGTCTGGCACTGGGATTGGTGGTGTGAGTTCTGTACCCGCCCAGGGGTGGAGCCAACATACAGTATAAGGCCAGGAAGAAGGTGTGTCTTTCCTCTTTTGCTCTGTTCTCTCTTGCTGCTTGCAGTGGCCTCTCAGCCAGGCCATCCTGCCTTGTAGCCTGCTGAGTACAGACTGAAACTCCCACACTGTAAGAAATAAGCCTTTCCTTGCTTCACTTTAGGCATCAGGTATTTTGCCTCAACAGTTAGAGAAAAAGTAACTAAGGCAGACAGTATCATTCGAGGTGACACCCTGACCCAGCTTACCAAGCTCTACTTCCAGGGTGTCCTTGGCAGGATACACAATGTCTGGTTTGAACTTGGTGTCAGCCACTAAAACATGAAAATAAAAATCATTATTTGCATCAAGAAATCTGAACACCTGCTGGCTGAGGATTTGGGGACACCTCCATCAGTACTTTGATCTAAATGTTCCATGTTCCTTCTGCAAATTGCACCCATTATCCTGAGGTGTGGGAACTCAGGCTTCCATGTGTAAATCCCAGCTTCTGGAATGCCCGGGCATCAGCCATCAGTGCTGACAAATCATCCGAGGAGCTCACACCACATCCCCCTGGGCACGTGCTCCTCACCAATCTGCTCACCCTCGTGGGCCAGGGCCTCTGCCTTCATCTCCTACCGCAGTGTTTCTTTTTGGTGTCATCTGGCCGAGGAACCCAACAGGAGGGGAAATCCATGTAATAAATACCCTTCAGCTTCTTGCCACAGACTTTCAAATGTGCCTGCCGATTCAAGCGTCCTTCTGAATGCGGCCTGCCTCCTGGCGAAGGGAGAGCTGTGGTGTCTGCTTTTGATGTCCCCTTAGTCTTGCAGGCCACCTTCCCCATTTCCACCCTCTCCCTCTTGTGTCTTCAGCTGTGATTTCTCTCCTTCTCTCTCTTCTCATAGGCAGGAGCATCTACTCATTGGCCTCTCTTCCTATCTTTGAAGTGACAAGGAGCCCTCGCCCTACAGCCTGCCTTATGCACTTCCTTCCTTTCCAGCCAAGGACTGCATGCAGGGCTTAGGCCCCCTCCCTCACCCCCTCACCTCTGCAGGGTCCCGATTCTCCCCCATCTTTCCACAGAAACTGCTTTACTCTGAGTCCCAATGGACAGCCTTGTACCCATCCCGCGGGGCCCCGCTTTGTACCACGGCATGGTTGGCCGCATCTTCTTTGACCTCTTTCTTCTCTGGCTCTCATCCCACCTTCTCTGCCTCTGTCTTCCCTTCTCCATGTCCCTATGGGGTCCTTTCTCCCTCTGTGCCTGTCTGAACCTCAGTCCTGTCCCTTGCATCCTGCCATTCGCTCTGTTCTCCCTGCGGCACCATCCTCGCACCAGGCCCCTTCCCTACACAGGCTCTGGGCTCCCACAGCGAATCCTCCACACCACCGCAATTCCACTTCCTCCCCCCCTTCTCCATGATACCCCTGGTGCCCGGATGTCCACAGAGTCCTGCACCATCTCCTTCGGAGTCCTGGATCCTCTTTCCACACCTGGGAAGATGCCGGGGTCAGTCCCAGGGGCCTCTCAGAGCTGCCCGGGTGGCCTCCTCCACCCCATTGGCTTTGGGTGTCAGGAAAGCTGATGACTCGCTGCTCCGGTCTCCAGCCCGAGGGCCTCCAGGTGGATCCAGCCTAACACTCACTGGTCAGCATGACATGACACTGGTCAGCTACAACAAGGCAGTGCCTAACGTCCCCTCAGGCTTCTTCTGGATTCATTTCAGGCTTATTCAGCAATGTCACCATTTTCCCTCTGTTTCTTCTCTTTTACATAAAATCGGTCCTCCTGTCCTGCTGGCTCGTGAACTTGGCCACCGTTCATCTGCTCTGTTCACAGAGCGGCCCTGGACACTTCTGAAGAACACGAAGCCGGCCCCTGGCCACTCTTGTGCTGACCTCAGTAGGTGACAGAAAATCCGCCTGCCTGCCCAGGTCAACACCTGCCTCTGGTCCCCGTCCTTCTGTTCCCTCATCCCTGTTCACAGTCTCCTCATTACTGGAATGCCCTTCCTCAGTGTTTTCGGACTCTACCACTTCTCCTCACCCCACCTCCCTCTCTACAGGGGTCCCCCTCAGAAGCTGCCTCCTTGACCACTGTAACCTCCTGACTGTCCTCCCCACGCCGATCCTCGTTCTTGGACTCCTGGACATGCTTTCTATGCAGTGAGCAGAGTGACCCATCTGCACTCTCCTACCAATGCCCTCAGGGACTCCTAACTGGTCCTTGGATAAATTCCACACTCATCAAAACAGCTGACCCTTGTCTTCCTGTGTAGCATGGGCTCTCTGGGGTCTCCTGGACATCAACAGGACCTGGGCCCATCTCCACTGCCCCCTCGGGCTCCTTTGTCCTCATTACCCAGGTACTCCTAGACTCTGATCATTGGGTTTGGGTTTGGGTTTGGGGGTGCACGCTCCCCCTTCTCATGGCACACTGTATGGTGGTCTCCCGCTCCCAATATGTCCACCCAACAAAGTGGGAAGATCCCAGAGGCTGGCACAAGAGCCCAGGGACTCATGCTTTAATTCTTAGCTCTAAGGCTGATGTGGTAGAACCTCAAAGAATATGTGCATGGGAACGGAAAAGAGTTAGCGTGAGTGAGCTGATGAGGGAGACAGGAGAGGCGCAGTTTCCCCAGAGGGAGAAAGTCCCTTACTCCAGGGAGAACAGGGAGCACACTGGTGAGGGGTGACGTTGCTTGGAAGAGGAAGCCATACCCACAGGGCATTCACATGTTTGCTTTTCTACTACAGAGCAATCTGATGCCAATGAAACGGGCAAGCTCAGAAGTGGAAAGGAAAGAAGGAGCCCAGGTCTGGGTGCACACCAGGCTTGACAAAGTCTCCCTGTGTCCAGAATGCCTGTACCTTGCAGGAAAGGGAGGCAGTCAATGAACATCCTTGGTAAGAGCTGAGCTCACCGCTCCTAGATGCTCGGGTACAAAGCCTGAAGGACTCCCTTCTCAGGCTTTCACCCTGTAGCGCACGCATACATCAACCTTGGCTTGTTTAAATCAATGAAATCGTATAATTTATGGGTGCTATGTTGTAAGTCTAGTAAGGAAAACCCAAGGAGAAAGCTGGGACAGAATTTAAGACACAAAGGAGGAACCCGGTATGCCCAGAGAGATAGGACAGAACACTTCAGTTTGTCATTAGTCACGGAGATATCTTAGGGGGAGAGTGAAAAAGAAAGAAAAGGAGGAAGAAAGAGAAATACAAAGAAAGAAAGAGATAAAAAGAAACAAAGAAGAAAGGAACAGAATGAGGGAAGAAGGAGGGAGAGAAGAAAGGAAAGAAGGGGAGGCCATTGATGTTGATCAGAAAGTCTGGGGAGGGAAGGATTACGGTGTTTGGGAATAATGGGAATTCCTTGTTCATGGGAGCAGAAATTGGCAAAGCCTCGCCTTGATACAGTGCTGCCTCGTGTGGCAGGAAACACAGTTGATCACAAAGCAGTGCTGGGCTGCACTCGTGAATGGGTATGTATTTAGGAGAGGTCTGAAAAGCACAAATGCAAAGAAATAAACTGCAGGACTGTGAGACTCTCGGGCAGGAAACCCTGACAGCCCTGGGGACACAGATCCCCCAGCTGTGGCTTCCATGCTTTGTTTCTCTTAAAAAAAACAAAAACCACGATTTCGGGCATGCAGAAAAATACTAAAACACTCTGGGATTCAGTTTGATTTCACCATATCTGAGGCTTTCAAAACTACAAATTTTCTGAGTGTGGGGGCACATGCCTGTAATCCCAGTTCTCAGGAGGCTGAGGCAGGAAGATCACTGAGTGCGAGGCCAGCCTGGGCTACACAGTGAGCTCAAGGCCAGCCTGAAATGCCCAGTGAGACCCTGTCACACACACACACACACAAGGACTGCAGTTTTTCACTGCCGCCGTTTTCCCTGAAAGGACAAAGTGGCCGAGGAGATCACTTTTGTGTCAAGGACGGTCTCGGAGCTCCTGGTACCATGGGCCACACTTACCGATGGTTCTCACTTGCACCACAGCTCTGGCTGTCCAGGAAGTCACGTTTGGTGACACAGTGTAGTCGCACACATAAGTGCCCTGGTGGTAGTCATAAATGTCCTCCAGCAGAATGGAATCGCTCTTTTCCCCAGGGAGGACTCTTCCATTCTGGTCCAAAAGACAAAAAATGTTGAAGACATTTCTGGAATCAGGGAGTTTTTATTCACTGACCCTTGGGCGCCAGTGGAAACCTTCATGCATCCAAATCAGGAAGGAATCACTGATTTCAGAAGAGGGCACAATCAAAGCCACAAAGACCCTCTACTCAGCTCCATGCTGTGCAGTTCTTACAGGGAACAGGAGAGGAGGAGCCTGGGCACTCAGCCCCCTGAGAGCTCTTCACCCGCTGCCTCCCACTGCGTGACTCAGGTCCCTGAGACAGTTTGAAGCAATGATGCTTAGATGAATATTTAAACACATGCACGTATGTGTGCTTCCAGGAAATTGCAACAGGTTTTCTCTAGGTGAGAGTAACACACAGTTTCTTCTTTTGAAAAATCTAACCCTAAGAAACACTGCTGGAACCTGGAGATGCACAGGCACAGTGAAGCTGGTGGCTGGCAAGCCTGAAGGCCTTGGTGAAGAAATGTGATGGCAGAAGGTAGCAGCGAACCAGGGAACTGCACTGGCTGGTGTGCCCGAACTCACGCGGCTGTGACTCAGCCAACTTCCCGGATTCCCTCTGTGTCCACTCACCAGAGCCACGGTCACACTGGGGTGTGGGCTCACTGAGGTCAGAGATCAGTGAGACCAACAGAAAGCTGAGCCACCTACATTGACCTGCAGTGAGTGTCGGGAATAAAACCTTTCAACCGGAAAGGGAACAACATCCTGGAACCAGGCAGGACTGGCAGAAACAAGGTATTGCAGAGAGTAAAGTCAGTTTCTCCCTTCCCAGATGGGATTGGTGAGATGTGCTTGGCCTGGGTCACGCCCCTGGCTGGGAAGCAGTAGGGTGTCCCAGACCAATTGCCTAAGGGCTGCACACACTAAGGCATGGTGAAGGCCTGGGGGGAGGGGCTGGCTGACTGTAGGGGAGGAGCCAGTATATGCCTTCCCTATTTGCACCTCAATGGCACACTGGAGTAGGCAGGGTCACCTAGCCAGTCTGCTTCAGAAGAACCAGAGTCAACATAAAAAAAGGACTGGGGCTTTCTTTACATGCCTGTGTGGAAGAAACCAAAAATATGAGAAGAGAAAACAATAAGAAAAAGCCTCCAGCCCCCAACTCTGAGAACATTGATCCAAGAAAGGTAAATACAAAAGAGATTGAGGACAGCAAACATACAATATCAAATACAGCATCAATAGACATAAATAAATGTATTCAGGACCTCATAGACAAGTTTAAAAGGGAACTATTTAACCAAGTAAAGCAAGATATAAATAGATTAATAAAAGAAATGCTAAGCATCTCTCAAGTAAACACAGATGGAAAATGGAGGAACCCAAAGAAAGCAGAGAAACATTTGATGAAAAATATAAAGAACATATAGAATACATGAAGCAGATTCAAAGACATTACCAGGAAATTAAAAACTCCATTGAAAGCTGGCAAAACTGCTTGAAACAAACTAAGGATAGATTATCTAAACTGGAGGACAGGTTTTCAATGTGGGATTATGACAGGAAAAGCTTTTAAAAATAACAAGGAAATGAGCAGTCACAATACAAAAGCTAGACGGTGACAAGAGGATCTATAACTTGAGAATAAAGAATGTGAATGAAGAAGCAGAGGTACAAACAAAGGAACTACAAAGGCTATTCACAGAAATAATTAAGGAAAACTTCTCAAACATAGGAAAAGGAAATGATATACAGATATATGAGGCATACAGAACTGCAGCTACCTACAACCAAAATAGAGCCACCCAGGCACATAATAATCAAGATCCCAGAAACTGAATATAATAACAGAATATTAAAAGCTGTTAGAAATAAGGAACAGATCACCTATAAAGGAAGGACCATCAGAATTACAGCAGACTTCATGGCACACGTCTTCATGACCATCAAGTCAAGAAGAGCTTGGAGTGAAATATTCCAAGCCCTGAAAGAAAATAACCTGCAGCTCACATTGATATACCCTGCTAAACTGTCTCTAGAAATTAATGGAGAAACAAGATGCTTCCAAGACAAAGAAGAACTGGCGAAATTCTCAACCACCAATTCAACTCTATGAAGAATACTGCAGGACATTCTAGAGAATGAGAAAAGTACCAGGAACAGTGGCAGAGAGGCCTCAATGAATGAAGCAGAAAGTAGAATGAAGACAAGTAGACAACTAATGGCAAACAAAGAGCATAACAGAAATGAGACAGAGAAGGTTGGTTATAAACTCTAATATAGATGGCCTTGCTACACTACATTAAAAAAAGAGAGAATCACAGGTAGAATAGATCAGGAGGTAGGGTCCAATGAGATGCTCTTAATAGGAAATGTAATTATCCTGAAAAAGGGTATATAGACTGAAAATGAAATATGGGAAAACAATGCTCTATGGGATAGGAAGCCAAAGAGTAACAGGGGCAAACTAGACCAGTATTTGTGAATAGGTTGGAACGACAGGCTTTAATAGGTAAAGGAATATAATTCGAGTTCAAGTCCAGGAGGGAGAAAGTTTGGAACCACTTAGGTAAATAGCAGGTTTCCCTCCCCTAACTTAAAACTGAGAGTCTAGGTGAGGCCCAAAAATACACAGTGCATCCTGGGGAAGTGAAAAGGGAGGAATAGTCTTTAAAAGGAGTGCAGAAGACATTGTTAATAGTGTATCAAGAATTAAAACCCATATTACTCTCACCACTCTGCTTAGATAGAGTTTATTCTGTCCCAGTGTGTTTACTTGCATTAGATTTGAGGGCACAGACAGCTATCGCCAAAACACCAGGATATAGCACAGTAATCATCTTTAATTTCCTACTAACTTAATTTGGAGCCCTGTATGACTTATACTGGTTTATCATGACTGATCTTAGTTAAATCTAGTTTGTTTGATTGCTGTTTGGTATTGACAGATTTTATTCAAAACTTGTATGAATGATAGTATCAAGTCTGAGAATTTAGGCAATTACACTGAAGATAACAAGACTCACTATGATACCCATTCTGGCTTGATTGCTACCTGTTTTTCAAGTTTTATACTACATACAAAATTGTGTTTTTATTAATACTGTTATGTACGGATATATTCAATTATACTACGTCTGATGATATAGCCAATTCTATTGAAGATAATAAGAGACAACACAGTAACCATGGTAGAACCCCTTGTACAGAGGACTTATATGTCTTTTTCATTTCATATGTTTATAGGAATATATTTTGTTTTGTCTTGCTTTGTTTTGTTCCTCCCTCTAATACAGAAAGGATAGAAATACATGTTAAGACTCATGCATGTGTGGAACCAATAAACAGTTTATGAGAACTGATCTTAAGACACATGATGAAATGAACAGGTACTGTGAAGAAAAAGAGACACTTACAGTACCCAGGGCTGATCCAGGAGAATCAAAATGTGAAACCCAGCAATGTTATTATTCTTTGCTCAGAGTGATTTTTTGTTGAACAGAGCTGGTTGCAGTCTTGCTGTTTGAAACCCCACTTTATATGCTCCACTTTTGTATCTTGAATCATATTTGTAAGAGGACAACATGTAAATATAAACTACTGATTTCTTACTGTTTATTCTTTCTTTGAAAATATGTACTGTATCTACCCATTTTCTGTTTTGTTTAGTCTTTCTTTAAATAAGTTTTTTTTTTTTTTAAAAGAGCAAAGGGAGAAAAAGCAAAGAAAAACCTAACCCTAACAAGAGAATACATTTTCCAATCGAAGATACTAAGTTAATAAGCAGGGGCATACAAACGTTACAAACAGACTGAAGACTGAAGACTTCACTTTGCAGGACCCATAATCAAGTAAGAAGTGAAATGCGGGCACCACCCTGCCCTGCCTAACTCAGGATCTACCAACGACTCCCTTTCCCCCAGGATGGGTCACACGTTCCTCACTGTCTGCTCCCTCTTGCTTCCTGACACCATCCTACCACCCCGGCCCAGCCTGGGGGAGCCAGGGCTTGCCCTGACCTGGCCTTGCATCGCCCCTTGTTCCCCTGCAGGCCGAAGCTCAGGCTCTAGCCTAGCTCTGGAGGTGACACCTGTGCAGGGCGGGCACCTGTGACCCCACGGAGTCAGCCACTTCCTGCCCTGGGGAGCGCAAGGGCTGTCAGTGCCCTGTGTGACGAGGGGACATCCTTCTATGGAGCTTGGGTCTTGGGCACACCGTATAATAAGCCGTCCCCTCGCACCCCAATGTCAGGGCCTGGCGTCGGGAGGCCATGGGTCAGAAGGTTGGGAGGGAGTCTGGGGAGGTGAGGGTCCCTTATGTGCACCTGAGGCATAGGATAGACCAGAGGGGAGCCAAATACACAAAAGTTTAACCTTTAAAACTCATGGCAGTGATACGCACATGGCCATTAGCACTCGGACACTGGCTTGGAGTGCAGGGACCCTCACTTTCTGTCTTGGGTCATGACTTTCTTTATGAGGTGAGATCAAAAACACGGTAACTGCTGCTGACGAGTGCCATCTGCAGGAAAGGGAGGGTTGTGAGAGCACCACGGGGCGCCCCCATCCACTGATTTACCAGCTCTGGCGCTATGTGACCAGGCTCTTCACTGAACTCAAAATAACTGTGAAAGAGAAACGTTTTGGGTCCATTCAGGACACAGAGTTAGACTCAACAGCAGTGTCACTACAGAAGACCTCTGGAACTGCTGCAGAAAGTGGCAAGGATGGTAGCACCGGGCCCAAAGGGGGCAGGTTATTTGGGGAGGGCATCATGGCAATGTGTCTCACTGTAATACAACTCTGTAAAAAATCTGAGCATTATGTTTTCCCATCACACCTCATATAGGGAGACAAGGCCAAGGTCAGAGCGCTGATGGCCTTTGGAAACAGACATGGTTGGTGTCTGTCTGTCCAGTGCGTGGCAGATGGATGGAACTGGGGTCTTCCTGTGCCAGCTGCACGAACATATGAAGGTGCAGAGGGGAGAAAAGTTTCAAGCCAGAGGCCTCGTGATCAGGCATTTTTTAAAAAACGTGAAAG